TCTGCCTCCACCTTCACCTGGGACCCCTCATTCCGGCCCCCCCCCCCTTTTTTTCCTTTCTTTTGGAGAGGTTTTTTCTATAGGGCACGTGCACTCGCCAGAAAGAGAGAAACAGAAAGCGAGAAATCACCCCACCACCACCAAGGAGGATGGCCATGCTGCAATTGCTTCTCCTCCATTCTCCTCTCAGGATCTTGGTACACACGCACACAGCGTGAGTTTAAGCCACCAGGTCCGGGACTCGAACCACAGTGGACTACGTGGGAGTCCAGCAACACAGCCATTATGCCAACTGCTGGTCCCAGTACCCCCTTTCTATAAGGATATCAATCATAATAGACTAAGACCCGACCTCATGTGAACTGTACCTCTAAGACCCTGCCTCTGTGAGGGAAAGTAAGAAATTACTCCCCGGGGGGATGGCCCTGCCACAGTCCCTTCTCCTGCCGCCGCCTCTGGGGGTGTTGGGCAAGCACACACACACCTGGTGGGCTTTTCAAGTCACAGGGTCCTGGATTCAAACGGTGCAGTCGGCCACGTGGGGTCTAACACCTGAACTGCCACACCGCCTGAGGGTGCCCCAGCCTATCACTTCCGAACAGTTCATCACACTGTGCTCCTTGTGGAGGGGCCTGAGAGCGAGGGAGCCCCTTCAGAAGGCCGAGGGGCAGCAGGTCCTGCCCTGGAAGCCAGGCCTGGAAGGAGCGGTAATGACCACGCAGTGGCGACCTCAGCTGACACTGTCCTGGCCCGGCACCGGGTTAGTAAGCAGCACCAGGGCTTTCTCGGGATCAGCCTGGGAGGCTCGTGCCTTGAGGAAGGATTTCCAAGAGGCCAGCACTCCCACCTGGGAAGGTCAAACTGCCCTGTAGGCACACCTTCGGTGCACACACGTCTCACTCGGCTAGGCCAACGCTGGGACGGGCCTTTGGGGAACCCGGTCTTGGGAGGGGCAGAAACAAAGGACAGTGCATGCGGTTGCTATGGAGACCAGGTGCTCAGAGATGGTGACAGGTGACATTTATTCTTTGCTACCTTCCATGCTCCGCGCGTATTAGCTCAGCCTCCCTAACTGACATGAGGGGGACTGTCAGAATATACGCTGCCAGGAACGAAACCTGACCAGGGCGGCAGGAGGTCTGGGCCAGCAGAGCTGCCATGGCAACGGGCAGGGGCGCCGCTCCACCCTACAGGACTCCCGGCACCCTAACAAGGCTGCACCTGCAGGGAGGAACTGAGGCCACAATGGCAGACAAGCCGTTTCCCCAGGGCCCCACAGAGCAGGAGCCCTTGACTGCAGGGAACCTAGGACAGGGACTCGTTTACCTCCAGCTGGGGTCCAGGAACAGGAGGCACAGCCCAAGTGCACAGCCAGCCACCTTCCTCTGACCTGTCCCTGAGTGCTAATGCCACGGAGCCGCCACTGCCGAGCTCAGAGCTGTGTGATGGCAGGGGACGAAGGCTACCGGAACCGAGCTCAGCCTCACGCCTGGGACAGTTCCAAGGCTGCTTACTCTTCGAAGACATCCAGCCGCACCCAAGGGCCACCTCTGGGGCTGCTCTGTGCAGCGTGGGGCTGCCCGGGGCCTTTTATGAAGACAGAATCGAGTTTTAAAATGCCCAGAAATGTCAGCCCCAGGCCTGTGCTGACTGGAAACCTCCCAGCACCTAGATGACGCTCCCATCTCAGGGGTAAACCCCAACAGCCAGCCCCGAGTGAACCTGTCAGCAGGGCCGTCATACACGGCTCATGGGCCACGGCAACGGGGAAGGCACAGCTACAGCCCTTCGAGGATAGACACGGGCCCATCCAGTGCCACACGGCCTCTATCCAAAACCAGACAGCAAGAGAAGGGCTGCTGTAGGGCCCAGGGAGGGCTACGGAAAGCTGCCCGACACCAGAGGGCCTGTGCATGCACGGAGGGCGCCCCCAACAGGGCCTGGCTGCCCACAGCCCTTCCTCCAGCCGTCCACCCTTGCAGGGCCCTGGTATGCCCACACGCAGTTTTTCAGGCCAGTGGAGCCAGGACTCAAACCCGGACACTGTGGGACCTGGCTTCCATTGCATGGCACCTAACCATTGTGCCATGGGGCCAGCCAAGAGAGTTTTGAGGAAGACTGGAAAAAAGCAAGCACTTGGAATTTGGGCAGATCCCAGGCAAACACCTGGAAAGTGGTTTCAGAGAGCAGTGGGATGAATCAGGAGTTGAGGACTGGCGGTGAGAGCGCAGCAGGAGGTGTATGCTCTGCCTCTTTTCCCTCCCTCCAGGAAGCACTGGTGGGAGAAAGGGGGGAACGGGCCTTGCTGGGGGCCACCTCAGCCAGCAGGGCCGACTAGGCCCACGTTAAGGTCCTGTGACTGTCTGACAGGGCCAAACCTGACCCTGGCTAACGGGGAGGGGAATGAAAACGACAGTTCCAACCCACGCCAGGTCCCAGCCCAGGGGCGACTCAGGGCCGGGGCCAATGTCCAGTGTCTCTCTCAGCCAGAGCTTCCACTGCCCTTCTGCCGCCAGCAGCAAGCAGCCCAGCCTGAGACCCCGCCAAGCCTGCCCAGGGGCTCAGGGCCCTGCAAACTGCCCTCACTGCTCCTTTCAGGGAGGGGAGTCAGGCCTCTTGGAAACAGGAAGTGGGTCACGGCTGCCTCACAAGCCATCAACTCCCACATTCTGGTTACGGCTTCCTCGCTGCCTGCCAGTGCTGGGGCCCGCAGAGGAGCCAGGAGGAGGCAGAGCGGCACTCTGGGTTAGCGTCCCGGGCAGGGGCTGGTCTGCTGCACCTCTCGCTGTCAACCAGGGACCTTACCCTGCTCAGAGCTGCTCCAGAACTTTATTTGCCTCGGCGCACACTCACTGTTCACTGCCTGCCCGGTCTTCCAGTGTGACTGGGCAGCCCCCGCGCTGACGGCAGCTGGGCATGGAGGCTGCTGGAGGGAAGATCAGGGCTGGCAGCCAGTGCCCTGGCCTCGCGAACTCCATCTGGGAGGATGTGGAGACGAGCTTGGATGCCTCATGCCCTGGAAACGTAGCCTTGTCAAAGGGGGCAGGGGCGCCGGGGGCAGGTCAAGGCAACCCCAGGCGAGGCTGTCACAGCACCTGGCAGAATTTGTGCAAAAAGGCCCAGTCTCCAAACCGAAGGGGCTGGGGTGGTGGCAGCGGGAGCCCCGGGCATCCCTCTGCTGTGGCCCTGGGCTGGCTTCCAGCGGGAAGTGCTCAGTCATCGGTCTCCTGCTTGATGCTCTCAACGGGGACAGGCAGCTCCGGGCTGGGGACCTCGCCGGGTGGGTCCACGTGCAGATGCTCCTCCTTCACGCACACTGCAACGACTGGGCACGGGCGGGGAGCAGTGAGCCCTCGCTCCAGGGGACGGGCACCCTCAGAGGGGCAGCAGGGAAGGCTGTGGGGGAACGCTGGTGCCTGTGCCCACCCAGCCCATGAAACAGGGCAGAGTAGAGGGAAGGGTGGGCCAGGCAGCCTGCTGGAGACAACTGGTGCTCAGAGCTGGGCAGGTACTGAGCTCCAAGGGGCCCAGTGGCTTGAGGATGGGATGGCTTGGTGACCAGAGGCCCTTCAACCTGACCCTGCTCTGCTCTGCAGGGAAGGAGAGGGGCCAGGCCGTCCTGCCTCCCCCACCCCGTGGCTTACTCTCAGGCACAGGAATGGGCTCCGGCGAGGTCTTCCCTGAGGCCTGCGGCTCGCCCTCCAGCAGGGGCTTCTTGGATCCCTGTCTTAGGGGCCGGGTCTTGGTAGGTGGGATTCTTTTCCCTTTGAATAAAAACAGAATTAAATCCAACCTCAGGGGTGCCCCCTGTGTGAGTTTCCATGGGCGAAGGCTCGCAGAGTGCAGCGGGGACAGCACCTGCGGGGACGGACAGCTGGACTCCAGCTCTGACAACACCCTGAGGCTGTGCCCGCGGGCAGAGAGGTTCCCTCCAGTGGGGGTCTCTACCACCACCCCCTCTGGAGCCAGGGTGCACAGCAGTCGTGGCTGTCGCTCCCTCTTCACACCGATTTCTTTGGCTGCGACACCTGGCCTATCTTGGCAGGGCCCAGGGCTTCCTCCCTGTTCCACTTAGTCCCATTTGGGGGGCATCATCTTCTCTGCGTAGTGCATGTCACAGAGAACCCCTCACCACCTGCAGCCCTGAGGATGGCTGGGCCTCCTCCCCTCAGCCCCTGGAGCTAAGCCTAGGGCTGAAGTCTGGCCACTAAGCGGGCCACCTCGGCTCCCTGCTCAGAGGTCACAGCCTTGGAGACAGCTTGTTTCTTCTGGTGCCTTTTACTTTGGAACCCAGCAGCTGTGGCCACCCAGAAGGCCCTCCGTGTCTTTCCCTCAGCGTCCTAACCACTGCCCGAAACGGAGCACCTTCTGTTTATGCTCTGGGTCCTCAAAGACACGGTGAGTGGCTGGTAGGGCCAAGGGGCAAGGGAGAGGAGACGAGGTGGGGGGACCACGAAGAAAGGTGCGGGAGTGGGCTGGCACCCCACCCCGCACCAGCCTGGCTGCTCTGGACCCTCACTTACTTTTCTTCCCAAACTGTTTCTTTTTCTTCTTTGTGGCCTCTTTGGCCTTCAGAGGTGTGGCAGGTTCTGTGGTTGAAAGACAGGGTTGAGAGAAGAGTTCTGGGAGGGCACAGGGCACAGGAGCACCCCAGGCCCTGCCCACCTCACACCAGGACACCCAAGAAGGGAAGCCAAGGCTGGGCAATGAGACGGGGCTGGCTGGAGGGCAGGGGCTGGAGAGCGGCTGTCTCTTCCCACCCTTGATGCCAGGGCTGCTCAGTAGGGCCTTGGGGGTTGACCTGGGTGTACAAGGACATGAGCATGTGAGAGTGGGCCAGAGGGAGGCAGAGCCAGGAGTGGGGCGGGAGGTGGGGCTCACTATAGTGCTCTACGAGACTGCTCCATGACACGCCAAAGAACTGCGGGTGCACTGGGGCAGGGGAGCAGCTCCTGGGGGCTGTGAGTGCCAGACCTGCAGCCACCGGCGGCTGGAGCTGGTA